TATATTGAGGTTCAGGTTAAACGTGGTTTTTTAAACCAGTACTTCAAATACATATATATATATATATTGGGGTTCAGGTAAAAAGGTTTTTTAAACCAGTACTTCAAATGCATATATATATATATATTGAGGTTTCTCTGAATCACAAGCTTTCAAGTAATTTCACATCCTTTTTATCCTCAAAAAATGTCGTCTTTCTTTACGTTTGTGTGGAAAATATTTCTGCTAATTTCGTGAGAAATACATCCAGAAACAGAAGCTGTCCGTTGCTTATAGCTTCCAAATTAAAGTTGAGAGAATTCCACTGATGGTTTAGGAGGTTAAGGAAACCGTTTCTCGGATTAATAAAGGTGTCATCCGCGAAACGCCACCATTGAAAGTTTGTTGTTCAAATAAACCTCAATATATACGTGAAGTATTAATCGGAAAATCTCTTTTTTGTTACCGAATTGTACTTACTCATGTTCGAAATTGCTTTTAAGTGACATCTTTAAAATACATTTCTGTGTACATTCATTTGATTAAGCATATTATGGGTCTTTTTGTGTTTCTAGTTTATCTACAGTTGCAAAAAATATTTTTAAATGTGCTACATGAAAGAAAATAAAAAAAAAACTTTATGGCAAGTGGCGAAGCAATATATAGCCTGCTAGCTGTAATAGTCACTAAGTATAAAACAAACGTGCAGCATCTCGTATTAGTTCGTCAACAACACGTCTTTCCGTGTTTACTGGAAGGAAAGTATGTCTCGAGTCAGCAGACTGAGACTTGGAGATTGTCACGGTTGAAATTACTCATGGTCTCCAACTTCCGGCTAACTCATCCAAATTGATATAGTTTTGTACTACACATATGTGTACCCATCGAGTTTTGTTTTCTCTGTTAGTTTTGTAACTATTTCGTATATTATTATTTATGTATCGTAAATAGATCATCGCTACGCTTGTAACTTTAAAAAAAAAAATAGGTTGCTCAAAATATGCTCCTGGTAGAAACTGATACCTTTAAATAATTTAACACGTTTATGGCATATATTGACATTTCGATCGTGGTTATAATTTTAGCTTTATTTAGAGTGTGCTAGTGAACAAATATCACACGTTGTTGTCTTTCCTGCATTTCATTTCTGTGCTACAGAAAGCACGCATTCCAATGTCTTTTTTGACATGTTTTCTGGTCTTCTTTGCTTGTTTTTTCGGTACAAATAGGCTTGTCTTTGCATGGAATTGATAGTTTATTACAATTGTTTATAGTATATATATTACAACTATTTTAATGGATTATTAGTAAGCTCACGACACTACATTTAAAATATCCGAATTGTTTCTACTTAACTAAGAATGCATTACTTTTAACTTTCAAGTTGGGACAGCGGACTCACAACGATAAGATCCGCGGTGGACATATTGTGATTTTTATTTTTAAAAAAAGACAAACTTTAAAGTTTGGTTTGAAAGTTTTAATTATTCAACAAAATTAGGTTAGGTGGATATTTTCATTAAAAACAAGCCCCCCAGTGGTACAACGGTATGTTTGCGGACTTACAACGCTAGTATCCTGGTTTCAATATCCGTGGTGGGCAGAGCACAGATAGCCCATTGTGAAGCTTTATGCTTAATTACAAACAAGACAAACAAATTAAAAACAATTAAAATACGGTTGGCCATGAAAACGCTAGATTGTTTTTTCGGACACATTTGCAGTAAGAATTGTTAGCTTATATACTTGCCAAATCTTTCCATAATTCTTCTGCTTTAGTAACACAAACTAAGATTAATCCACGTACAAACTTTCGCGGGAAAAAACTACTAAACTACTTTTTTTAATAGAATTAATTAGACAGTAATGTTTGAATATAGACTTGTTGTAGATATGGAAAAAATTTCACTTCTTGTGCTTAAAGCACTTTTTCCTATAACGTTGGATGAAGCAGCCGCCCAAAATGGGGTAAAATGGACCTCATCTAAATCATACTAACTACAATTTAAAAATAAAGGCTGCATTTTAGCAACTGCATTTAAATTACTTAAATCATCATTTAAATGCTCTCGGCAAAAATCGGGAAAGTCGTACGTCATGTACAAGTTATGCAATATCTAGGACAATGGCGTAAAATAAAGTGGGTACTGGTGGATGGTAAGACGGCCCCGACCTAAGCCATTCATCATAAGACAGTCGCATGTTATAGGAAATCAGTGAACTTGAAATATATTTCTTTTATAGTATATTCATCTGTCTATAATTCCTCATTGTTTCTGAATTCAACAAAGTTAAATTCTCTGAAATAGCTACTTTGTAACCATAAAAGTCTCAAAGTGCTTACCTAAGATTAAAACTTTTCAAAAAATTAAGTCACGCTTGGATCGTTTACGTTCGCGCCCGTCTGCCAATACTTGAAGTTTATACTTGAAGTCACATGAAAAATAGTTAAATATAATTCTCTCTAAAAGACAGCACCTCATAACTGGTAACATACAGGGGTGGCTGGTTTACCTAAGGGGACCGTCTTAACTCACTTCCTCAAAATTTTAAATTTTCCAGAGATTTTACTTTATCTAGGATGTACAAATTTAGCTACTGGTGCAGTGTACGTTATGTAAGCTCTTCTATCATATTTCTTTATCTGCTAATAAACCAAAAGGTGCACGTGCAATTTAAAAAATATGAATAAGAATAAGTACCAAATTTCTTAATTTCAATTTTAGAATAACTTTTTTTTAAGTAAAGTAAAAAAATTACCACAACATTTAACTTTTTCAACGGTGATTATGCAGAACTACTGGCATACACAGTAAAATACAAATTTCCAGTACTGTTAGAATATGTAACAACCCTTCCGAAAAAGAACATTCACGTAGCAGGATTTCTAAACAACGTAGAGCCAAAGGACACGTTTTCTCAGAAAACTCCGCCCAGTAGAGTGCTTAGGACAGAAACCAGCTCCGAAATCACACTCTAAGCCAGACATTCCCAGCCTGGGGTACATTTGCACCTCTCAGGTACATAGGGGTCTGAGATTATAACCATGGTTTACACTTTACATGGTGTTTTAATTTA